GGCAGCCCGACAGCCGCAGGGGCCGCTGGGAATCTGTCTTGCTTTAATTTACCCACACATTAAAGCTCAACTTAGTCAAACACAGAGAGACACCCATAATGTCATCCCCAGTACGGCAGACATCTCCACCACAGCAGAAACCCCAGAGTTAACTTCATTGAATTCACTTGCGTGCTGGTCCAAAAAGATGGCTCTGCACAGCTCTAAGAAGCTCTCGTGGTAGAAATCTCCTCACAACCAAAATTAAAATGCGAGGGGCTGGGGGTTTAGCTCAGTGGTTCCACTGCCTGCCTCACAAGTGCAAGGACCCGGGTTCAATCCCCGGTACCAAAAGAAATAAAAAATGTGAGGTCCATGATGCAGTTTTTTCTCAAGTCCAACAACACTAATTAAAAAACCACCATCTATTTTCTCTCTGCCTCTCTCTCTTTCTCTCTCTCCCTTCCTTCTTTCTTGAGACAGGGTCTCCCTATGAAGCCCAGGCTGGCCTGGTCTTACATCCATCCTCCTGGCTCAGCCTCCTGACCCCTGGGGTGACAGGTGTGCACCACCGTGCCTGGCTTCTAAATACATTTGTATGAAGTTGAAAACATGAGCTGAAGCCAATGGAGTGGGAACAGTTTCAACTGAGAAATCAAGATCTGATTCTTCCCTGAGTCTAATTAGCAGACACTTACTCACAATCCAAGGTCCTCCCCGCCCAGCCAGCACCAGCTGGATTCTCTGGATTCTCTTATTCGATAAGAGCCGGGGGCTGCCGCTTCCAGCCACCTGGGCAGGCTCATTACACCGAAGCCCATGGAGGCATCAGGACTGAGTCTATGTCAGGGGCAAACCCAGTCCCAACTCTGATCTGAGATAACCTTGGGGAGCACAGGCCCCCTCGATGCCCCATGGCGGGAGGTGACCGAGGTTCCCGCTGTCAGACGCTGTGGCCATGGCCCAAAAAACCTCAGTGCAGCAAGGATCTGTGCCACTTCTCAAGTGACCACTGAGAAAGAGGGGAAGCTGGGGGGGGGGCAGGGCACGGCTGGTATTCCAACATCTGGGAGGCTGAGGCAGGAGGATCTCCTCATTTTGTGGCCAGCCTGGGCTACATACTGAGATACTGTCTCAAAAAACCAAACAAAGCAGAGAAGGAATTGGCCAACAGGGCAGGCGGAGTGGGGATGGGGAGGTGGGGAAGGAGCTGCCTGGGCTCTTCCCACAGTCCCAGGGCGTGGCCCTTTGGAAAACAGGGCGTCAGCAGCTGGCTGTTGCCTCGCACCGCCCACACGCTCTTGGTTTCTGCAGGGCGAGGCAGCTGGGGAAAAAGTCACGCAGATAAAAGACCCAGGCGGACAGCCTGGGAGCCACCTGTGTGCCTCTCTCATTCCTGCAGGGGCTGGGGACCCTGAGGACACCTGGTGGGCGGCGATGCGGCCCCTGTGTCCCAAAGAAGCAGGATGTGCATGCTGGAGTCTGGAGAGCTGGACACAGGGTGACACAGGCGCCAGTACATGCTCCCTCCCTGGGGATAAAGAGCGCAGGATCTTAGTGCCAGGTGTTTCCCACCGTATCAGCAATGCAGAGGTCGCTCTAGGAGCACAGGTGACAGCCGCCACTGTCCTAAAACCCAGACCTCAAGGCCCAAGGCAGCTTGAAATCCTGCTCTGGAAGCTGGGTGTGGCTGCACACTCAGGAGGCTGAAGCAGGAGGATCACTGTGAGTCTGAGGCCAGCCTGGGGTACAGAGTGAGACCCTGTCAGAAATAAACCAAAAATAAAAAAGAAAGAAGGAAAGAAATCCTGTTCTGGGGAGCTTCCATCCCCGGAAGCTCGGGTCAGTGCTGCAGCCTGATGCTTCAGTGACCAGGCAGCGAACTGGCTGAAATGACAGAGGTGGGATTCAGCCTAGACAGGGTTCCCCGGAAGGACCCAGGAGGAGGAGCAAGGTGACCAGGTGTCAAAGAAGGTCCTGCAGAGGGGCTTACTGTTCCTTCGGATGGCAGCAGCATAGAGGACAGGGAATGATTTGCCTGTGCCCACCCCCCCACGAAGCTGAATTCCAGGGACGGCGCGTGTGGCGGCGGACAGCAGCAGGTGCTTGGAACCTGTCTCGCAGGTGCCAGCGTCACCACAAACTGCAGCTCTCTTCGGCTGCCAAGCTCCCTGCCAATTAGGGTGTCCTTGGCCGGGCCTCCCCGAGGCAGAGCGCTTGTAAATGCTCCCTATTGTCACCGGCAGAGCCCGAAGTTGCAGGAATGGATCCACTTGCTTAGATGCCAGGGGATACTGCGAAATGCTTCTAAGACAAAGTCCAACAGAACAAGCTTTTAAAAAGGAGAAGCTTGCCAGGCGCGGCGGCACAGGCCTGTCATCCCAGCACTCAGGAGGCTGAGGCAGGAGGATTGCTGCAAGTCCAAGGCCAGCCTGAGCTGCATGGTGAGTTAAGGCCTGCCTGAACTATGTCTCAACCCACCCCCAATAAGTACATGGATAAATAAAAGGAGCCATGCTCCCTCGCTTCTCTCTCCGTTTAGGCCAGGGCAGATACATTTTGGTTTCAAATCTCGGTCTTGACCTAGCTGCAATCGCAAAGCCCGAGGCATGGACTCATTTCTCCCCTCCCTCCGCCCCCCCATTCACTGGGAATTTCAAGTTGTAAAACAAACCAAACCTGTCCCGGGCTTCACACAGTGGCCGGCCCACACAGCAACACCTTTCTTTGATGGCACACGTGGACGGTGCCTCAGCAGAATGGAATCCCCGTAAACACGCAGGCACTGTGTTCAGCCCAAACCAATTAAAAATTACTCTCACAATGAATTCCAAACATTATGCTCAGACAAAACAACGCGCCGCTGTTAAACCCTAAACCTGCCCCTCACAAGCACACACAAGGCATCCCTGGTCCGCATCACCAGGGTGGCTGCCCACCTCCTCCGGGAAAGCCCAACTCTCTCAGGTTGCGGTGCAGCGCAGGCGCAGGTGGGACAGGGGACACAGCCTGGCCGTGTGGGGAGCGCCCGGCCCCGAGTGCTCCCGAGATCCTTCTCAGAAACGCGAGCCTTTCCGGGACATGAACAACATGAACATCCGGGGCCGCAGCTCACAGCGCAGACAGGATTAGAAGCCAGAGCACAGCGTCTCCATCTCTGACAGTGCTCTCTTGCTCCAGGGACAGGAGGCTGAGACTCTGTCCAGCCCGGACCGTCCCTGCCCTCGGGCCATGCCCCCACTTGGAAGGCAAGATGTGAGAGGGGCCGAACCGGGGAGCCCTAGTGCTGGACTGGCTCTGTCCCCGTGGGGACGGGACCAGCCGTGAGTGTGCGGGCACTGAGGCCAAGCTCCCCCTTCTGCAGCCTGGAGGGAGACACAAAGGCACCCAGGTCCCCACAGTGGCTGTGGGACAAGGGCCCAGGCTGGGGACCGCACACCACAGCAAAACAAAACCAGACCCGCCTCAGCGTGCCTCTGACACTCGGGCACTGGCAGAGCCCGGCACATGTCTGACAGTGTGCTCTTCCCTGTTCATACTTTTTATTGTTTTAGTTTTTTGACATGGCCTTGCTATGTAGCTCAGGCTGGGTTTGACTCACTAGGTAGCCCAGACTGGTCTGGAACTCATGGGGATCCTCCAGCCTCAGCCTCCTGAGTGCCAAGGTTGCAGGTGTGCACCACCAGGCCTAGCTGCTATTAATATTTTAAACAGACCGTGTGAGCGGTAGCTGCAACATAATCCACCTTGTAGCACAAGGATTCTGAGGTCATCAGGAGAAAAAAACACACTGGGCAGGTATTTCGTATCCCTGGGGCTCGCCATGTCCTTGAAGTTTTCATAGTAGTCACAAAGACCCATTCCCAGGAGACAGAGGGGCCCAGAGCTGTGCGGAGCCGTCTCCTCCTCCCTCCCTGCAGTCCCCAGCTGCTGGCCACCCTGCCTGGCCTGTCCTGCCCACTGCCCGTGTCAGGGTGCAGACGCTGCCTCCTCCTCTCAGCTTGGACTCCACTGCCTCGAGGGACCAAGTGCTGCTCCGCGGTGCTGAGCCAGGTGGACACCTGGTGGCCCGTAACAGGCACTCGAAGAACTTTCTCCCGACTTCTCTGTCTTCTAATTTATTTTACTTATTTTTTGGTACTAAGGATTAGACCTAGGGTCTTATCACTGAGCCATATCTTCAGGCCTTTTCTATTTTTTAATTAGAGTCAGTGTCTTGCTACTTTGTTAACCAGTCCACCTGTTCTTGAACTTGGGATTCTCCTGCCTCAGCCTCCCACAGTGCTGGGATGCCAGGCATGTGCCACCTGCATTTTTATTTATTTTAGATCTTCAGGCTCTGAGGGGCCCTTACTTCACATCAGTGACCAAATCTCAATGCTGTTGTAAACTCTTGAGGTTTATAACTCAAGGAAGAAACTAACTTCCAGACCAAGACGTCCAACCGACCATCAACACTCACCAGAAATACTGAAACCACCCCAGAACAGAAGGCCTGATAGCAAATTCCATGTGCCCCAGGGTCAGGGGCAAAGTGGCACACACACTTTCCTTAGCAGTCAGGTCATATTTAGGGTCTCAGGCTACCCTACTAAAGCCCACTGATTATTTTTATTTTGGCTTTTTGAGACAAGGTCTCACTATGTAGTTCCGGCTGGCCTCGAACTCACTATGGAGCCCAGCATTGCCTCCAACTCACAGCAATCCCCCCGCCTCAGCCTCCTGAGTGCTGGTTAACAGGTGTGTGTCACCAGGCCTGGATTAAAGTCCATTCACTCCGGTGTGACGCTGGCACCAGGGCCTGATCCACAGCCCCAAGCTGGGAGCTTTGCCCGTCGCAGCTGCAGCAGCCGCATGGGGCAGAAGCCTGCAGTGCTGGGGAAAGGGCCCCAGGGAGGCCGTGCCCCTGCTCTGCCCACCTGACCTGGCCCTCAGATCCGGCCCCGGACCGTGACCTGCAGCTGGTGGCAGCCTCATGTAGGGAATGTGTGTCCTTGGCCGGCGCCAGCCTGGTCGCCTACCTTGGCCTCATCATTGATGTCCCAGGTGAAGGAGATGGCGTTGTAGGCAATTTCCTCTATGTTGCCGATGGTGTTGAAGCTCTCCTTGTAGTCAGCTAGACGGGGGAGCGAGAAGGGCACCGTGAAGTCACGTCTCACCAGAGGCTGCGGCGACTCTCAGTGGACGCTGTTTACCACCCCACCATCCCAGGGCATTGAAATGAGGGCTTCTATGGGTGGAAGGAAGCTCAGAAAAATGAACTGCTATAACAGAGGCAAGCTTCGATGTATTTAGTTCAATCTCATGCGGTCAAACTTAGGAAATTTAGGACTAGTTTTAGTAGTGCACGCCTGGAATCCCAGCACTCGAGAGGCTGAGGTAGGAGGATCACCGCCAGTTTGAGGCCAGCCTGGGCTACACAGTGAGTTCAAGGCCAGCCTGGAATACATAATGAGGTTCTCTCTCAAAAAACAAAAGAAAGAAGGGCTGGGGATTTAGCTCAGTGGTTCCACTGCCTGCCTTGTAAGCTCAAGGACCCGAGTTCGATCCCCGCTACCTAAAAAATAAAATAAATAACTTAATTAAAAAACAAAAGAAAGAAAACATTAGAAAATTTAGGTCTTAAAAAGGTTATTTAGGGGGTTGGGCTTTTTTTTGAGACAAGATTTCCCTGTGTAGTTCAGGCTGGTCTTGAACTCACTGTGTAGCTCACACTGGCCTCAGACTTGCAGTGATCTTCTTGCCTCAGCCTCCCAAATGCTAGGAGTACAATGTGCACCACCATGCCCAGTCAGCATCTCTTCAAAAAAATGTTACCCCTCAAAGCCTGTGCAGACTGGGCCGGGGGTCGGAGCGCTTCCCTGGCATGTGCGAGGCCCTCAGCCACCTCCAGCATGACCAAAAAGAAAACAACAACACAAACCCAATGCTCCCACGTCAGCTCTGCTCCTGGCCCCGGTGACACCTGGGAGCCACTGCCGGGCACAGGCCCCTGTGAAGGAAGCCAGGGCAGGACACCGGTTCCAGGAAGCCCAGGACGGGCCTTGGAAGGGACCAGTGGCTGGCAGAGGAGTCAGGTGCTTTTGGCAGGAAGCTGACCACTGCCAAAAACAACTGCCTTTAGAAAGCCGGCGCCTGTGCGCAGGGATCCAGCGGCCCTGGCTCCTTACCGATGTCAATGCACCTTTGTTTTGCGGTGTGCTGCCGTGAGTGCCAGTACTTCCAGTGCCTCAGCTGATCCTCCCTGCTCTTGTCCTCAGCGAAAACCACCATGATCACACTCTGCGGAAGGACAGACAGACAGATGCAGGGCTGAGAAGCCGCCACCAACCCACACATTGCATTCTGCAGCTCAGGCTTAGAAGTGCATGCTGAGCCATCCCCCAGAGCTGCTCCAGACTCAGAAACACCAGGACTGGAGACACCTCTTTCTGGTGTTTTCAGACAGGGTCTTGCTACACCGTCCAGGCTGGCCCTGAACTCACTATGGAGCCCAGGCTGCCCTAGAGCTTGGAGAGAACCTCCTGCCTCAGCCTCCTGAGTGCTGGGTTGACAGGCACGCACCAAGGCACTCAGCAGGACCTGGGGACACCTGACGAACTTTTCCAGAGAACAGAAGGAGGTGCAGGACTTACACGAACTTTGCTGATGGGGTGGTGGACGCCTTCAGTGCTGCTCACCTCCTTCAGGGTGACAGGGTAGAACTGGCCTTTGTTCAGGTACGTCATGGTGCTGTCCCCTGGCTTCTGCCGCAACGATTTGGAAGCTTCGAGGGTATACTCAAAGTTGTTCCTGAAGGACAGAGAGGTTGCAGATCTTGAACCTTGGGTCTCTTGGGCACAGCCCTGAAATGTCCCTGCATGGGTGCCCAACCAGGACAGGTACCCAACTGGGACACCCACGGAGTTCCTCGGACTAAGTGGTTCGTGCACCCTTCATGGGATGAAGGCTGCAAGCACCAAGCCGCCAGACCCTCGAGTCTCTCACATGGGGGCCACACAAACTGCTATGCTGTGGTTGGCAGCTACACTTCTGGAGGCTGAGGCCATGAGGATATCAGCAAGTGACAAGGCCCGTGGCAGGGACCCTCACAGGACAAACCACCGATCTGGAATTTATCCAGGAAAAGTGACAGAGAGGCAGCTGGAAGCCCTGCATTGAACCTGATTTGAGCTGGGCATGGAATCCCAGCACTCGGGAGGCTAAGGCTTCAGGATCGCTGAGAGTTTGAAGCCAGCCTGGGCTATAGAGTGAGTTGTAGGTCAGCCTGGACTGCATAGTAAGACCTTGTCTCAAAAAACAAAAACAGTTGAAATGTCTATAAATCGGCACGCTGCAGTTCTCTGCACTTCCTGTGCCCTTCCACTGACACGCAGACACCCCCTTTATAACTTCCCTGGGCCAGAGGGCAGCAGATTACATCTATCTTTGTAGATAAAGTTCTTCTGATTGGTCCGTATAAGTAGCATAGAATAATGAGATGCACAAGGGCACCCTGTTATAGTGTGTTTTTTTGTTTTTTGAGACAGGGTCTCGCTATGCAGTTCAGGCTGACCTCGAACTCATGGTGACACTCCTGCCTCAGCACCCTGAGTGCTGGCGTTATAGGCCTGCACCACCACTCCTGACACTGGTGCACACAGTGCACTGTGTGCTATGCAACCTGCATGGCCAAGCTGGTCACTCACAAAGCCCCCCCAGGCAGCCTCGCCCTTGGAGCCCTAAGTATTCAATCTGACTCCTTAGAGAAAAGGGGTGCTGGCCCCATCCCAAGCCTTAAAGGCATCTGAGGTACTAAGGGAAGCCTCAATTCCTGGAAAATCCTAGACTTCAAAAATCTTTCTCTACTGCAAACCTAACATAGGTCAGAGCAGACACACACAAGAAATGATAAACTTGGGCCGGGGATTTAGCTCAGTGGTTTCGCTGCCTGCTGCACAAGCACAAGGACCCAAGTTCAATCCCCGGTACCAAAAAAAAAAAAAAGAAGAAGAAGAAAGAAATGATAAACTGAAATCCCAGGCTCCTATAAAATCTGAAATTCTTCATACATGTTCTAATAATTGGACAACACTCCTTTTGCCAGAGAGAGTGAAATTTTACAACACTGAGATGAAGCTTTCAGATCGGAAAAAAATACCTTCCATTTAGGGTATCACTAGCAAGGTTAATAAAAAGGAAGGGCCTTTGTCTGCTTGCTGTTACCCCCATTATCACCTCATCATACGCACTCGGGACGGAAGGGGCTTCGCCATCCGGTCTAAGCTCACCTCTCTTCTCAGACTCTATATTCGTCTACACCCCAGAGAGAAGCCAAGGAAGAAAAGGCACCAACACCAGAGGATGAAGAAACTGGAAAGGCTTCGAGGAGTCCAGAACCAATGAGCCCAGGCCAGGCAGAGGCCAGGTGAGGAGAAAGTGACACCCGAAGCCACCTTGATTTGTGAGCGACACAAAGGGAAGAGACGAGAAGCGCTGAGAATGAACCATCAAAGGAAAAGGCAACTATTACCCAGCAACACTGTCAAACACATAGTCCTCTGAGTTCATGCCAGGCATCCGCAGGCTGAGATCCGAGGGGAAGAAAACCTGAAATAGTAATGTGATAAGCCATAACCCTTTAAGGTCAGCAGTTACTCAGGCCAGGCTCCGCCACGGCAAAGAGCACAGCTATGACAACTCGCTACCCTTTCAATGTCCATCTCGCAAGCAAACTCTTAAATCTATAACAAACGTAAATTTAAAAAACAGAAAATTATAAGCTGGGTATGGTGGTGCGTGCCTATCATCCCAGCACTCGGAAGGCTGAGGCAGGAGTATCGCCGAGAGTTGGAGGCCAGCCTGGGCTCCATAGTGAGTTCAAGGCCAGTCTGAACTACATAGCAAAACCCCATCTATTAAAAAAAATTATTTAAAAAAAATGTCTACTTTTATACACCACTCAAGAAAATGAAGACAGTTGTGCACGGGATCTACAAAATGCTTGGGATCTCTTAGCCCTTTTCTGTCTTTCCCACCTATCCCAATTCTGTTCCAACTCTAGAATCTGCAAACAAAGCGTCATGAAGGCAGGGCGGTGGGGCCATTCCGGGCTGGAAAGTCTGATTTGCTTCCTCGGGAAAAGATAGGCTTCACTCCTAACCCCACCCACGCAGACAGAAGCCGCTTCCTGCGCAGGACCCTAAAAATGGGCTCCAACACCACGAGCGCCTCACTTTTACCTGCATGAGAAGTGCATGACCATAAATCTCGGAAGCACTTCGAAGAATCTGTAAACATCCCAGGCCACACCCGTGGCTTCCCTCTGTCCCTTACAGTCCCACCAACCAGGCGAACGCACGATAAGGCACCCACACTAAAGGCCAGTTCCAAGAGGCTCACGGGCCAGGACAAAAATTGCACGCTGACCCTGTGGATCCATCCGGGCTCAGGGGAAGATTTGCACTGCCTTTTCCTTCTGGAGCGAGTCCTTCCCTGAAACCCTAGTTGTTAACTGAGCGGCTGGTAAGATTAGCCCTGTGTCCTGATAATTTCAGGATTTATAGGTTTAGCTTACAAGTTATACCCAAGGGGCTTTTCTCTTAAGAAAAAAAAAATGTTTTCTTCCTAATCCATCCATTTCGGGCCGGGTTTCAGGCTTGCGTAACAAGGAAAAGGTGGAACCCAATACTTGGACAAACAGCAGTCTCGGAGACCTTTGCTTCCCGTACCTCCTGCACACCCTCCTTGAAGGGCTCGGAGAAGGTGGAGTCCGGGGTGCGCCGCTGGGCGTTGGGGGGGTGAGCCCCGGAGCCGAACTGCTCCCCGTTGAGGTTCCGGTCGAAGACCACTACCCGCTCGGCCGGCTCGGGGTGGTACACGGCCGGGGGCAGCCCCACCGAGAAGCCGTGCGGCGGGAGCTCCGTCTTGATGGAGTGGGTGGGCATGGTCGCTATGGAGACGGTGACGGTGGTGTCGGGAGCGGGCAGGTGGCCGCGCTTCTCGGCGCCCAGCGGGTTGCTGTGGGGGAGGACGATGTTAAAGGGCACGTTCTTCAGGACCTGCACTCTGTTTTCCCCGGCGGAAATGAGGGACTGCTCTGCCACGTTGGGGAGATTGTTTCTGTAAAAACAGCAAAAACAGTGACGTTTTCACGCCTGATGCTCAGATAATTCTTTGCGATGCCTGTTTTTTTACTCTCATGGTCGCACAGAGTAAGGGAACAATGCACATCTATTTGTCGCCAGAGACGGAGAAAGACTTCAGCCCCTGCACAAGCACCTCCCAAAGCCCAAAGGGGACTTCAGTGGAAATACTGAGCAGTCACAGCTTTCATAGCATTCAGAGCCTCTCACAGCTTTATTTTTTTCCCATGACCCTAAAATTCTCATTTTACTCTAAGCCTGAAACTACAAACTTAATCTGATTAGTTGGGGTTAAAGTGTGAGCGCTAAAGAGTCAACTGTGGTGGCGCATGACTATGATCCCAGCACTCAGGAGGCTGAGGCAGGAGGATTGCCATGAGTTTGAGGCCAGCTCGGGCTACAGAGTGAGATCCTGTCTCAAAAACGCTAAAACAAATCAATAAACAAAAAGCTCTAGAGTCAGACTGCCTCAGGTCAAATTCTGTCACCTTGAGCAAGTTACTCCACCCCTCTGTGTTCAATCTTCACCAGGAAACAAGGTTTAGTGGTGCCCACCCTCTCCCCATGGCCAAGGGTGAGCGTGGCAGCGGCACTAACATGTACCCCCACGCCTGGCACCCCTTGAAATCTCATAGGCTGAAAACTTTAAGGAAAAAAGCAGATTGGTAATCTTGTAGATTTCAATAAAATTATTCAAATCCTGAGCCATAAATTCATGCCCAGGAATTTAGCTTAAAAGAAAGAAAAAAAAGCCAGGCTTGATGGTGAACACCTGTAATCCCAGCATTCCAGGAGACTGAGGCAGGAGGATTGCAAGTTTGAGCCCAGCTTGGGCAATTTAGTGACTTAGCAAGACTGTGCCTCAAAATTGCAAAGGGCTTGGGGATGTAGCTCAGTGTGAAAACCTGAGTTCAATCCCTATTACGGAAGAAATAAGAAAGGAAGGAAGGAAGGAAAGAAGGAAGGAGAAAGGGGAAAGGGGAAAGGAGAGAAGGGGAAGGGGGGGGAGGAGAGGGGAGGGAAGGGAAGGAGGAAGGATGAAGAAAGAAAAGGAAAGAAGGAGGAAGGGAACGGAAGAGAAGAAAGAAAGAAAGAAAAAGAAAGGGAGGGAAAGAAAGAGGGAAAAAGCTATTCAGAAAGTTTTTCACCAAGGCTTTGTGCTCTGGTGAAAATCAGATAGACTGCAATCATAAAGCTAGCTGACGTTTGGTTTAAAATAGTCCAGCAAGGGCCGGGGATTTAGCTCAGTGGTTCCGCCGCCTGGCTCACAAGCGCAAGGTCCTGAGTTCAATCCCTAGTACCAAAAAAATAAAAATAAATAAATAAAATAAAATAGTCCAGCAAAAACAAAATAAAGTGAATGCGAAAGCTACAGAAGAGGAAGATCAACTGGTAGGGTTGGACTGACAAGGGCTGGTGCTGTCCTGGATACTTGTGGCTCAGGTGATCTGTGCCCTTCACTGTGAGAAAATGCCCATCAGAAGGTAAAAACTACAGCCACAAATAAGCCCTTCCCAAAGGAGAGCTGTGCAGATTAAAAGAGCAATGTGGGAAATATTTATGAAGCAAGAAAAAAAAAGAGGAAAGCACCACATCCTGTCCTCGACTGAAGCAGAACTCCATACGAGCATGTGCAAGAGGGAACAGTAAGCTAATGGTCGTCAGGAGAGTGGGGTTCTGAGTGATCACTCATCCTTTAAATATGCTTTATTACCCAGAAACAGCCCAGTTAAAAGGGCTTTTTTAAAAAAAATTTCAAGCAGTCATGGTGCCACACGCCTGCAATCCTAGCACTCAGGCTGAGGCAGGAGGATTGATCACCATGAGTTCAAGACCAGCCTGGGCTCCATAGTGAGCTCAAAGCCAGCTTGAACTACATAGTGAGACCCTGTCTCAAAACAAAAACAAAAACACAAACAATGACACAGAGTTGAAGACCAGTTCACTATAGTTTTACTCAATTATTCGAGTCCGTGATATTTATTGTTTTGAAAAGACACCCTCAATTGCCAACTCCCTTAAAGCACCTCAGAGCAAACAAATGCTTCACTGAAGTTACCCCTGCAGATGTCCCCTGGAGGAGCCAAGTCTTTGTTTTTTTTTAAGGCTTTCTTTTTCTAAAAAAGACAACTCGGCCTCAAGAAAAGTCACTTTTTGGAGCAGCTGAGGCAAACCAGTATTGAAACCTCAACTCAGAGATGAGGAGTCCAAGTGACCCATCTCTTCCACTAGAGCTCACTCACTTAGACCAAGTCCAGCTTTGTGCTTTGTTCTGCTTTTTACTTTGAGACAGCGTCTCACTATGAAGTCCAGCTGGCCTGGAACTCGAAGCAACCCTCCTGCCTCTGCCTCTCGAGTGCTGGGATGGCACATTTAAAGCCCCACGCCAGGCTTTAAATTCCTGTTTTCTTTTTGGGGAAACGTGGGTTCGTGTGTGCTGTTCTGTGTTGTGATTCAACATTACCTTTTGCTGTGATCGGGCTCAGGGTGCTCGACCTCTGGCTTTGCTGTTGACGACCTCCTCTCTCGAGGGACCTTAGATGTGAGCACAAGGAAAGATTCAGTCCTCACCTGTGAAGGATGAGCCACGCCCCCAAATCCAGGTGCGCCCTGATCTCCAGAGCGCGCGCGGCAGGCTCTGGGGACACAGCGCATGCGCGAGGCAGCTGGGCTTCAAGGAGTTTACACTGGTCTCCATGGCGACTGGGCAAGAGCCCCGCTCCTGCTCAGATACACTCAGAGCATCGCGAACCGACTTCTCACTGGGCTACGGCTTTCAGCGTATCAGAAAAAGCCTGCTTTCACCCACCGTCTACACAGCCCAACACAGAAGGACCTACTAAAGACACAACATTCCGACTTCCGATCACCCCAGACCCAGAGCCAAGGATACAGTGGGGCCATTTCCTCCAGGAGCCGCCGCCGGTGCCATGCAGAAATGTGCTCGGGCACTTCGGAATTCGTGCGCCCGTTACCCATGTCTTAACTCGCTTTGTTCTATCCCCCCCATCCCCTACTGGGGATTGAACCCTGGGCCTTCGCATGCAGCTCCACCCCCAGCCCTTTTTTATTTTTTATTTTGAGACAGGGTTTCCACAAGTGGTTGAGTTGCCCAGGCTGGGCTTAAATTGCAATCTTACATATTTCACTATAAAAAACAAAATACAATACTTCACACTTGTCGCAAGAAGCCTAACAAGCCTATAAAATTGTCACCCTTAAACTGACTGTGGTGGTGCATACCTGTAACCTCAGTACTTGGGAGGCCAAGACAGGAGAATTGTCATGAGTTCAACGCCAGCCTGGATAGCAAGACCCTGTCTGGAAAAAAAACCCCAAAACCAGAAAAACAAAACAAAAAGCTAAAAAATTGTCACCCTTAATGGACAGACATGGGGATTTATCTCCTCTTGAGATGTAAAATACATTTATACTTTTAAGACAATTTATTTTTTTGTTTTGGGTGTGTTTGTTTGTTTGAGACAGGGTCTTGCTGTGTAGTTCAGGCACCCCTTAAACTTACTATGTAGCCCACACTGGCCTCAAATTCACAGCAACCCTTATGCCTCAGCCTCCTGAGTGCTAGGATTACATGTACCACCACGCCTGGCTCAAGACAATTAAAACACCCCTAAGTACGTACACACACACACACACACACACACACACACACACACACACAAATACCACCATCACTAATGTAATTCATTAGTTCTTCTGGCATAAAATTGTTTGTTTTTGCTCATTCTCAAAAGCTTTAGTTATAAATATATAACCTCAAAAAACAAAAGAAAAAAGATAAAAATATGCAAGTTCATAATTAACACCTTAGATTTTTATACTGATCCAGTCAATGTAACTAGCCATAAGGTCACATACATAATCTACTTCAAAGGAACCACTCCTGGCCATGCTTCCCAGTTATTATAAAAGTTTCTGTTCAGACTCAAAGGGAAAAAACCGAAGTGCACTCCCTGAGACAGTGCGAATTGGACACGCAGCTGGGACTCCCGGAAATAACTGAGCAGCATCTTAGTTCCCACCCTCCTCTTGGTAATCCGATTATCTCCTCTGCTTTGTCTTCCTGTTTCTCTTCTGTTCAAGAAAGACAGAGCCAGAATGGAAGCAAAAGCCGGACTGGCGGACTGGCGGCTCTAGGTAAAGGTATTCAGGAGTTGATTATTCCGTTATCTTAAATGCTCTTTAGGTCTGAAAGCATTCAAAACAAAAAGATGGCAAAAAAATGAACTGTAATGCACACACATCCACAAAGAGACACTACCACTAGGAAGCCCCTGAGTCTCCAGTTCCTGTCTTTATAAGGCAGTAACAGTGGCACAGTGACTGTGTGTCAACATACACGGTGACAAGAAGACAGGTCACATACAAAGCTGCGCTTCCGCCTGTACTCCAACTACAGCTTTAATTGGAACCTAAACTCTTTTTTGTTGTTGTTTTTTGAGAGAGGCTCTCATTATGTAGTCCAGGCCAGCCTTGGACTCGCAGTGATCCTCCTGCCTCAGCCTCCTGAGCGCTGGGATGACAGCCATGCGCCACCACACCCAGTGCCCAGCTTATAACCTAAACTCTTATCAGCCTTCCCCAAATACCTGCTATTGGCCTAAGGGACTGCAGAAGCCAGCGTGTGACCCAGAGGACAGTCTGTGGCCAGAACCAAGCCAGGGTGAAAATCCAGCTGCACATGTCCTAGTTGTGGGACCTGAGAATGAGCAGCAACACAAGCCCGTGACACGGCAGGCACAACACAAGTCATCAGTCAATGGCAGCTCTATTTCTATTAGGACAATAAGGAAGATGATGAGACAAATCAGGGTGCCCCGTACATATCCGTGCAGACTGAGCTTCCTATTAGTTAAGACCAGGTCACAGCTGGGTGTGGTGGTGCATGCTTGTCTTTCCAGTAGTTAGGAGGCTGAGGCAGGAAAATCTCCACAAATTGGAGGCCATCCTGAACTACACAGCGAGACCCTGTCTTAAACCTCCCCCCTCAAAAAAAAAGGACTAATGGGCCAGGGATGTAGCTCAGTGGCACGGCGCCTGCCTTGCAAGTGCAAGGTCCTAATTCAATCCCCGGTACCAAAAAAAAAAAAAAAAGACTAATGCAAATCTCTATAAACCGGCCAAAAAAACCAGGCAACAAAATATATCCCAACGTAGCACTATCAGGTCCCAGGTTTAGGAATATGTGGTTTTTCATGGTTCATCAATCAGATCAAATCAAGGGCTCTGCGACAATAGTCACAGAAAGGGCTCTCCCCAGAACACACAGCATAAAGGTCGGGGTAGGGGCCCGTCTTCGGCACTGAGAACACCGTGGTCTGTAGAGGTGCCAGCCGGCGACACAGCTGCTGTCCTCTCTGATGGCCGGGACGGCTGGCCACTCACTGGCCTGCATGGTGACACTTTGGTTCTCTGATTGCATAAGTTCATCTTTGAAGCCCATGAGTCAAAGTGCTCATTAAACTATTAATAGCTGCTACAGAAGCCAGCACACCTTGTAGTAGTCGTAGAGCAGCCCCAGCGCTGCTGCGCTGTCCTCGTCCCCATTGATGCTCATCATGGCTTTGGTGGCAGCGGTGAGCGGGTTTTCCAGGAATGACTTCCAGGCCTCATCCTCGCTGGTGTAGGGGCGCCGCTGTGGGTACAGCGCTTCATTTTGGAGGACCAGCACTGGCCTTTTGCTGCAGGGAAATTAAGAAAACACCGGGGCCAGGGATTTAGCTCAGTGGTTTCGCTGCCTGCTGCACAAGCACAAGGACCCGAGTTCGATCCCCGGTACTGGAAAAAAAAAAGAAAACACCAGGCTAGAGCTGGGCATGGGGGCGCATGCCTGTCATCTCAGCACTGGGGAGGCTTGCGGCAGGAGGACTGCTTGGTAGGAGTTGGAGGCCAGCTTAGGCTACGGAGTGACTTCAAGACCATCGAGACATTGTCACAAAAAAGAAAATGCCAGGTGATTCATGCATGTTATAGAAACAGATGCAGGGACACAGAGCAAGGCCATAGGCCTGCACTCTCTCTTCCCCAGCACACACGCACAGCTGGTCGTGCTGCTACAAGCTACCCTCTCTCCTGCTGATGTCAGGCCTTAAGAAATCTTCTTCCTAAAGGCCGGGGCTGGGGAGAAGGGGCGGAAAGGAAAAGGGACACTGTCTAATCCTTGAGGGCAGATGGGAAAGTTAGGGTCTATTCCCTGATCCAGGAGATTGGCATGGAATGTGGCCAAAGGGGATTGTAAATCAATAAAGAGGCATAATTTTCAGGCAGGGGAGTTAACTGTTTATCTTAGAGATAAACCCTTAAGAATCTACAATAAATGAAGCCACTGGAAAGAAAGAGATTTAAGAAAAATAGCAGGGGAAATCAGTTTTTAAAAATCTTTACTAGTTTTTAAGGGCTGAGAGGTAGAGAATGTGCCCAACATGTACAGGGCCTTGGGTTCAATTCCCAGCCTCCCTCTGCTCCCCCAGATAAAGAAATAAAATCTCTACTTGTTTCTCACACAGGCAGAGAACTATTTTGTGTGAACATTGCAGTTTGGTGGGAAAAATTCAGAAAATCGATGGCAAGCCTAGTGAATCCTTACAGAAGATTTAATTTAAAAGACTAAGCAAACATTACCGATTCCAAAAAAATTACAATGTCAACAGTCTCAACAACTGTTCAGTGGGTACTATTTAATAAGTCAATAAAGAGAAAAAACGCAACACTGACTCTAGAATAATGTTAAGCAGGGTTTTTTTTAAAGGAAATGTTTGGAACTGCACTGAATGATTCTTCTAACAAGCCAGTGCTCATTGCAACACACACTTGAAATATGTAAATGGCCTACAGGTGATCTACCTTTTCTAACAGGGAAGGTAGAGAGACTGGTTATCTTTTCAAGTAATCAACAAAGGTTAGGGTTTGGCAGACACCTGGGGCTCTTTAAAAACAGACAGAGATTTGGAAAAAGGACACAACTTTGAAAGGGAGAGGGAGTGCCTACTCAAATTCACCCTGGGTCCTGTGCAGTATACCCGGAGATACTGGGTCTCTACTCAAAAACCTACATTTGGTCTCCAGGTGGGGTAGGATCGTAACATAAAACAAACACGAGGGTTGTTCAATGGTCTCAGTTTGCTTAAAGATGGAGAAGACTGGACACAAATCTCGAATTTTAAGAAAATATGTGCTGGGCATGGTGGCACACACATGTCAGACCAGCACTCGAGAGGCTGAGGCAGGAGGATCACTGCAAGTGTGAGGCCAGCCTGGACTACGTAATGAGGCCCTGTCTCAAAAACAAACAAACAAAAAAGCAAATATACCAAATGACGTTCCCTGGGCTACCTGTAAAAAACCAACAGCTATGCAAGCGTGGTACTTGTAGACATTTCTGCTGTGCTAAGGTATTATTAATGGCCTAATAGCTACTTCCCCAAGACTATGACTTCCCTTGGCCCATTCAGTTCCTGTAATGCTAGTTTTTCAGCTTCCCTTCTTCATCCACCCCCATCCCAAATTTGTACCAGCATCAGAAAATAAATATTTTTCCAATGGCTTTGTCTGTGATCACCCTCAGGGTGTTTTATTATTTCCAAAGTGTGCCTAAGGCCAAAACGTTAGCTTTGGAAAATTTTCCCTTATCTGAGCTGTAAGTCAAGACATAAACATAAAAGCAGTTGTCCTTGGTCCTAGGTTTCTTCCAGACCCTCCAGCTATGGTCAGGCCCTAAAGGCTCCTAGGTACCCGGGGCTCTGAAACAGAGTTCAAGCCAATAATTAATTGAACTGCATATTCTACACCCCCAAATTAATGCCTAGTAGATGAGTCCAGACAGGATATCCAGCCTCATCCACAAAAACAGCACATCTAAAACGATCCTGTGCAAACACTTATAAAGCTATCTTGAATTTACTGATCAGAAATGGACTTGATTGTCTGGGTGTGAATTTCTTTTTTAAAAAAAATAAGTGTTTTTTTTTCCCCCACCACTCTGGGAGGCTGAGGCTGAAGGGTCCCAAGTTTGAGCCCAGGCTGGGCAGCTTAGCGAGAGCTTACCTCAAAATCATAAGAAGAAGAAGGAGACGGAGGAGGAGGAGGAAGGAGAAAAAGGGCTGAGGATGTAGCTCAGTGCAAAAGCCCGGGTTCAATCCCCAGTACTGGGGGAAAAAAAGTTTTTACACTTCTGAGACAAGTTCACATTTACGTAAAAGTAGCAAAGAGCACACAGAACAGTTCCTGGCTCTGGTTCCCCTGGTCTTACATCCCCTTCCCTTTGCCAAACGAAGTAAGTCGCAAACTCCCAGGGGCGCGTTCCTGCGCAGTCTGGTCTAGCTTACCACTCCGATCTCGGCTGCATCCTCTCGATATTCCCGAGCATTAAAACAGAAAGGCACTGCCCGGCGCGGCCAACTGTCATTACCATCGGTGATGCAAGCGCCTTTCGCACCCACCGGGCAGGCCGAGCCCGGCAAACGATGCCAGGGCCGCGGCGCCTCACCCTTCGCCCATTTCCCGGGCCCCAGGTCGCCGGCCCCGCGGGCTCAGCCGTGGGCAGCGGGCCCGCGGGGCGGCGGTGGCCGGCGAGGCTGCCCGGGCCCCAGCCCCGCACCGCGGCCGGCGGCCGCCCTGGCCCGATCGCCTGCGCCGCGCGGCCCGGCCCGCGTCTCACTCACTTGTCGTACTCCTGTGTCATCGCGCCCGCTCGCTCGCTCGCCGCTGCCGGGCCGCAGAACTGGACTTTCGGGTTGGGACAGTACACCCGATCCGGGGGGAGGAGGCGGCGGCCGCGGCGCTGGCGGGTCCGGAGCGGCGGCCCAGACGGGTTGGGTTCGCTTTTCTCGCTCTGAGCCGGCTCCGCGCGGGCTACGAGCACTGGGCACCGGGCGCGGGCGCTCATTGGCTGGCGGTGAGCCGGGAAGAGGCGGGGTCTCGGAGAGCTCTGCCTTCTTATTGGGTGGAGAGCTGGACACTGGGGCGGGGCAGACGGGGGCCGGGCGGCGCGGGCTGGGGGTTCCTCAGGCTCCGCGTGGCGGCGATCGGGGGCGATTGCGCTCGGGGTGGCGCGGCCGTCGGAATCCCCCTGGCAGGCGCGGGAGCCCTAAGCCTCGGCGCGCACCTGTAGCCCCTCGCGAGCACCCCGAAGCCCGGCTGTCCCAGCGTGCGCTGGAGCCCCAGAGCCGTGAACTCGTCTGGCAAGGGCTCCTGTGCCCATCTCGGGGTCGCAACACCCCATCCTCCTCCGGGCAGCCTTCTTCCCGAGCCCGGGGCACCTCCTGCTGACCCCTTGTCCTCTGGCCCCATCTGGGCTCAGCCCCGCGCCCGCACACGCATCGTCTGCTCTGATCGCTCCCACCGTCCAGTCCCCAGACGGGCCCCGCAGCAGAGGCCACTGTGTGCCAGCCAGGGTCCCAGATGAGCTGGCAAAGGTCTCTGCCTCCCAAGCATCCCTGCTGGGGCCACCACGGCACCTCGATGTGCTAAGAAGCGGCAATTTCTGCTGGCGGTGGGGAGCCGGGGTGGAGCGAGGCCCGGGTACCTGGGCAGGACTGGGCGAGGCAGAGCCGTCTGCGCTGGGTCGGGGGCTCAGGGCTGTGGAACTGGAGCACAGGTGTCTAGGCACTTTGGAGCAAGGGGAGCTAATCCTGTAGGGCCCTGCAGGTTTTTGCAAGGATTTGGACTGTACCTTGAGAAGGGGTGTGTTGGTGTCAGTGGGACAGCTGCAGGTCTCACTCGTGATTTAAAATGATCACACACCCCCAGCCTTTCCTGCTTTTCTTATTTGATATATTGATGATGGCCATTCTTTCTGGGGTGAGATGGAATCTCAGTGGAAGGATAAACTTGAGACATTGGTAGGAAGATGGATGCACCTTGGGATCATCAGGCTGAAGGAAGTAAACAGATGCACACTTCAGTATCACACGGTTTCCCTAACATGAGAAACCCAAAGTATAAAGGGCAAAATAAAAGATAGATAACAAGAAGTAGGGGGATGGAAAAAAATGAAGAATTGAAAGATAAAAATGGAAATAGAGCTTTTGGGAATGGGAAGGGGACCAAAAATTGGAAGGAACAGGGAAGGATGGGAAGGGAGGGGCTGAAGAAAGAATTAAGATATGTTGTGTACATGCACCCTCTTCACAAATGTAATCGTTAGGTACTGCATACATGGACTAATAATATATATATATTTTTTGGTACCAGGGATCGAACTCCAGTCCTTGCGCTTTTGAGGTAGGCAGTGGAACCACTGAGCTAAATCCCCGGCCCTAATAATTTTCAAAATAAAATAATCCGGGGCTGGGGATTTAGCTTAGGCCCAGAGTGCTTATGTATCTGCACGAGGCCTGGGTTTGATCCTCAGCTCCAAAAATGGATAAACAGAATTCATCTGGCTGCTGAGCAGGAGGCCATGGCAGTGACATAAGCCAAAGCAACTGATAGTGCGGTGGCAGTGGTCAGGGAAGTGGGGGATTCTGGTAGATTCTGAATTCAGAACCAGTGGGATGCAGTGAAACCGGCTGTGCAGTGTGAGAGCCAAAGATGACTCTAAGGCTTTCAGTGGAGCAGCTGGAAGTAGTGATTTGCTCTCTGCTGAGATCAGCAGGGCAGTGGGTGTAGACAGTGTGGGGAGGGCAGGAGACCTTTTTATTAGCCATCTGAGATATGTCAGGTAGGTGGTTGGCTAGGAGGCTGAGTCTAGGGGAGAAGTCTGGGCTGGAGCTGGACTTGGGTCAGGTTCTCTCCAGGGCATGAAAGGGGAGAGATGATGGGACCGGTCTGGATCCTGGAGCTGCACAGCAGCAGCAGCAGCAGCAGCAGGGGAGACTAAGAAGCAGGAGAACCCACAGCAGAGACCGGCAGCCAGGAGGAAGCCGGAAGTATCGAAGCCAGGGATGAAGCAGAGCGGTCAGCTGGCCGTGTGCTGGGGACCAGGCATGCGAAGGTGGTCCATGCCTTGACCAGCACCAGCTGTCCCTTGTCCTCTACCACTGTCCTGCTCCTCTTCGCATTCCTGGGACTTAGCAACCACAACCTCTCGTCACAGCCATCCATGTCTTCCTGTCTCTGTCCTCTGCCTGGGGCACAACACAGGAGCCTTGCAGCCTGCTCTTCTTATGTACTAGTTTCCTGTTTCAATTATGCTTTCATTTTTTTTCTTTTCTTTTTTGGTACCAGGGATAGAACTCGGGTCCTTGTGCTTGCACAGCAGGCGGAGAAACCACTGAGCTAAATTCCCGGCCCTTCAATTATGCTTTCAGAGCCAGGGATTTAGCTCAGTGGTTCTGTCACCTGCCTCGAAAATGCAAGGTCCCGAGTTCAATCCCCAGTTCCAAAAAAAAAAAAAAAAAATTTACACTCAATTATGCTTTCAAAGTGAGCTAATTTAGCCAGGTGTGGTGAACACCTGCCATCCTGACACTGAGAGAGGCTGAAGCAGGAGAATCACAAGTTTCAACCCAGTGTGAGCAACTCTGAAATTAGTGAGACTTGCTTCAGAATAAAAAATTTTAAAAGGCTGGGGACAAAGCTTAGTAGAATGCCTCTGAGTTTGTTTGCCAATACTGCAAAAAGCAAAGTAAAACAGAATCCCTCTAAAGCACTCCCTGCAAGCATCTCGGTCCCCTTTCCTTTTTTTTTTTTTGGTACGGGGATTGAACTCAGGACCTTGCACTTGGGAAGCAGGTGCAGTGCCACTGAGCTAAATCCCCAGCCCACGGTGCCCTTTCTAACCTGCCTTCACTTTTTAAGCTCTAGGATGGAGTAGTGTTGTTAGTTTTTGTTCTGTTTTTTGGTTCGGTGTTTCACTAGATGGCCCAGGCTGGCCTCAAAATCCTGGGCTCAAGGGATCCTCCTGCGTGAGGCTTCCAGTTGCTGGGACTCCGGTGCATACCACTGTGTCCAGCTGGTAGTGTTTCGAAAGTGGCTAAGTAGCTTCCCAAGGCACAGGCTTCAGAGTAGGAAGCTAATTTGGGAGCCCTCTCAGGATGGAGATAGCAAGGTCCTAAGGTACCCAGAGCAGCACCCGGTCAGGGCAGGTTGCAAATCGAGTCACAGACTGGCCACCAGTGCAGGGCCCTCTGCCAAGCAGCAAGGCCATCTCAAGAGAATCCTTCTTGGGCTTCAGTAAAGGAAACGGTGGCAAAGGCCACCAGTCCCTGCAGCGCCCCTTTGCCTAGGCTTGGGGACCATCGCTATGACAGCCTGAGGTCCCAGTTCCTCAGGGAGCATTCCAGATCCTTCTCCATCTGCCCTGAAGTCCACCCATTAGAAACCCCAGCACCCCGTGTTCCTGTCACACTGTCCCCTGGACATTCCTGAATTCCAGGCCCACTCCATCCGGCCGCCCTGGTCTACATCTTCAAATTGTGGTGGTTAACATCTGTCATCCCCACCCTCAGGAGGCTGAGACAGGAGGATCCTCTGTGTTTGAGGCCAGGCTGGGCTGCATAGTGAGTCAAGGCCAGACTGGACTACATAGCGAGACCCTGTATCAAAAAACATAAAAAGAGGGCTGGGGATTTAGCTCAGTGGTTCTGCTACCTGCCTCGAAAGCACAAGTTTCTGAGTTCAATGCCTGCTACCAAATAAATAAATAAATAAATAAATAAATCACAGCAGAGCTGCCATGCGTGCTCTCACATCCAGCACTCTGTCCCACCCAGGCCACCATGCTGATTGTGTCACCGCTTTTGCCAGAGTGCAATGAAAGTCTCCGTCCTGAAGAAATGGGGCACAGGAGGAAGCAGACCGGAAACTCCACCCTTCCCTCTAGCCCTGTCACTCAGCAAAGCCACCGAGCTTCTGAGCCTGTTTCCTCTGTGGACTCTAGGTAATAATATCTATGACCAAGCCTGTCATGGTGGTTCACGCCTGTGTTTCCAGCACTCGGGAGACTGAGGCAGGAGGGTCACCATGAGCTCCAGGGCAAGGCTACATAGAGAGTTCAAGGACATCCTGGACTACACAGTGAGACCTTGTCTCGAAAAAAAGTAAAAGCCCTATGTGATCACACTGACTGCTACATTTTGCCAAAGGAAGCTGACTCTCAGTGCCACCTGAGTAACAGTGACAATTGCTGACCTGTATATCACTTGTCTCTGTGACAGACGATGAGGGAAGTCTACAATGCGACATAAAGTTGTTGTCCTTTATGTATAATAAAGTTAGGAATAATGGGCAGGTAGGAAGTTTAGTATTTATTGAGTTCCAGTTACGTGCCTGGCATTGTTTGGGATATTTTTCTTAAAAACTAACACAAACCTTAGAAATGGAAAAAAGACATTTTAAAATTTCTGAGACAGGGTTTTGCTATTTAGCCCATGTTGTCCTCGAACTCTCAGCGATCCTCCTGCCTCAGCCTCCCGAGTACTGGGATCACAGGCCTGCGCCACCATGCCCGGGTTGCACAGGGGAGCTGGAGTCTCAGATGAGTCTTGTCAGCCACCTGAGCTGTGACCCAGATGTGATCCAAGCCACCAGGGATGGGGCTGCTGTCTGCAGATGGCAGCAGGAGATGCTGTCGGAGCTGGGCGTCAACGACTACTGGCAACTAGAAGGACCTA